AAATCAACGAAGTAGTGTTTCTTGTAAAGAAACTGATTACCAGATCCAAGACATACATCAACATTACGAAAGATTTCTCTTAGCAAGTAGGAAAATATCCCGATCTTTTTCTCTTTCTTTGAATTGTATACCCCCCGCACCCCCGCCCACCCCTAGGTTTACCTACTAAATGTGGTTGTTAATTCGTAACATCATCAGACAGATAACAAGTATTTTCTCTTTCATTTAGGGGCATCAAGTTGCAGCTGTCTGCTGTATTTAGATAGTCTCAGAACTATCTAAAGCCATTTGCAACACTACATTGCTGTATGACCTTGAGTTGTAGGAGATAGGAGTACAATGGACAAGGAACAAACACAGGATGTTTTCATTCTAAATGTTTGGTGTTAAAATAGCACACTGAGTAATAGCAGCTAGGATCACAGGGACAGGCATTTATATGTTTCTATTTGTGCCCCATTTTCAGGTTCACGAGAAATCTACATCCCTGGTAACTCTAGGAAAAGAAGTCCTAGGCCTAGGTCCTCTTCTCGCTGTGTCTTAAGGATCGCCAGAGAAGAGGCCTCGAGAAGGTTATATATGTCTCTTCAAGCCTGGTAAAAAATTACCAGCATCCATTATAATATGGTAAATCGTATGCTTCTATATAATATATGCAATGGCATGTAGCATATGTATATAAACATATATTTACATTAAGAATTTTAAACTTTTTAATGAAAGCATGTAAAAGGATGGACAGTTACAGAATTATACCAGGTTCAAATACTTGGTGTTTATTTCTTATTAGAAATGTTGCCTTCGGGTAAAAGATAAGACCATAACAAACAAACAACAACAAAACATATTGTTGAGAATGAGGGGGGTCAGAGCAGAGACCCAAAGCCCATCTGTAGACAATGGGACATCCCCTCACAGAGGGAGCACAGGGAAGGGACGAGTCAACCAGGGCGCAGTATAGCACCGATGCAACACAATATTCCTCTGGTTGCTTGAGGCTTCCTCACCCCTCACTATCAAGACCCCAGTGCTGCCTCTCACTTGGGACCTAAACGTGTGCACAGGTACAAATAAGAGATAAGAGCTCAGGACACATGGAATCCAAGAACAGGAATGGGAGTATCGACATTAGAAGGGGGGGGATGGTAATTGGTGGGGAGGAAGGGGGAACTGATGGCGATGATTGACACATAACCACCCACACACCCCTCCTGGGGGAAGAACAACAGAAACCATGGGGGAAGGGAGGCGGTGGTGGGTGTGAGGGATGAAAATAATAATAATTTATAATTCATCAAGGGATCACGGGGGTATGGGGAGGAAATAAGAGGAGTTGATACCAAGGGTTCAATAGAAAGTAAATGTCTAGAAAAAGAATGATGGCAACATATGTACAAATGTGCTTGATACAATTGATGTATGAAATGTTATAAGAGTTGTAAGAGCCCCCAATAAAATGATTTTTCAATAAAAAATAAAAATAACAAGAAATGTTGCCTTAATCTTCATGAAATTTAGACTCTAAAACTGTAAAATTGAAATAAAATTGTGCGGAATGACGTATTCAAAAGATAGGTCATTGTTTGTTCATTGCACATTCAGTTAACTCTGACTCCCAGGGATCCCATAAAACAGCAGCAACACACTCACTGCCATTGCCTTGATGTTGACTGATAGTGATCCTTCAGGACAGACTAGGGCTGCCTCTCTGGGTTCTAGGGCTCTACAGGAGCACAGAGTTTCATATTTCTCCCATGACCTGGCTGGTGGGTTTGAACTGCTAACCTTGAGTTAGAAAGGCATAACATAAAATTACCCATGTCAAAGTGTACAGTTCAGAGGCATTGCCTACATTGACCATGTGCAATTGCTACCTCTATCCTGTTCTAAAACATTTGCATCACCTTAAAAGAACACCTGGTCTCCATCAAACCAATTCCTTACCCTCCCTTTTCCCGCAGCACCTGGCACCCTCTCTGCTTCTGGCTCTATGAATTTACCCCGTTTGGATACTTCATATAAGCTGAAACCTACAATAGTGCAGAGAGGCTTTGTGGCATATTTTCAAGTATATCATTGGGTCCTTGAAACTGTCACCCTGATGGCGAAACAGGGAGGGTAAAGGGAGAGTGGGTAGGAAAGAGGGAACTGATTACAAGGAACTATATGTGACCTCCTCCCTGGG